GCCACTTCTTTGTTTTTACTTTGGAAAATATTTTGGCAATGAAAGATTTGGAACAAAACCTCACCAAACATTTCAAATGAATCCTTTCAAGTCAAGTATGTATTTATTCAAATTCAATCAATTAAACTGAAACAATCTGAAAAAAACTGCTTATGAATTCAAATACATTAGAATTAGCCTGAAAATGAAATAAGCCTGTATAAAATCTAATAATTTTACTCACCTTTCAAATATTCATTTAGAGTATTTATTTTATAAAATAGACTGTTTATCAGAAAATCAGTATTCCTTCTATTGGCTAATTTAAAGCAAGCTAGGCAACATGCTGACAATTAATGAGTTAAAACTATTCTAACAGGTCAGTTGAACTAAGCTATTTATTATTGATCAGACAACAGGCATTGTGCAAGTCACACAAGGGACTTGCAGTCAGATGTCAACATTCAATTCATTTATGACCATTGGCCAGACATTAACACCACATTTGGCAGTTCTTTCAAGATAATAATCTTAACATGTGTCTTAAATTGCTTAATTAAAATACATTTTTCAAACTTTCCATTCTTTCCTCCAGGTTTCATCTGTTGTGCAGAGAATTACCTCCCCTGTCGGTGGAGTGCACATCGCCCACTGATGAGAAAACAGGTAGAAATATGAAGGAAAAGGAACATTTTAAACATATTCGTAATGTTTTCATATTTTTTATACATGAATGCCTTAAAGTGGATAGTTTTGGTGGACAGATAAATTGGAATTAATAGGATTTTACTTGTATGGAGACACGTTTTAGTTAGTGTGCGATGAATAAATTCTCTGCTCAGTGGATGGCAATTCCCCATTTTGCTATCAACACCATTCTAGATCATTTCTGACACTTTATTTGTTAAACTTAGAACCTGGAACCTGCCACAGATTCCCTCCCCTCCTTATTTTCACATTTCACATGATCATGTATATATTTATATTATGGTTAGATATAAAGAATAGCACAAATGATCACACAAAATAGCCTACAGTGTAAACACATATAAACCCTCCAGTCTGTTGGTGACAGCATTTATTGTGATGGTAATCAAGACAAAACGTTGTCCCATGGTTTATAATCACCTTAAAAGCATCCAACCTTGAAATACCATGTGGAGGAATGCTTGTCTTTTTTCCTCCACAAATAGAAGCAGCCCTTTTTTTAATAACTTGATTCTCTCTTTTTTTGTCTAAACAAACATTTACTCTTTTACCCTGAGATTTTACAAGGCTTGATCATAAAAAGATATTTGTAACCTTTCTCTTTTGTATTTGATACTAAGTGATTCCTCAATATTTGTTTTAGTAGAAACATTAGCTGTGTGTGAGGCAGGGGCAAAATGATATGTCTGCGTACCCCTCAGAAAGTATGTAGTTGCACCCCTGATAAAATTATATGCATATCAAAATTGATCTGCCTCTCCAAACAGAACTATTGCTAACATCACAAGTCAAAATCTGATCACATTATTGTTGACTGCAGTTGTTTGAAAGTGTATATTTTAGATTTCTTGTGCACATCTTAAAATGTAATGGATACTGGAGCTTGACTGGGATCAGTTCGCAATGGATGTCATAAAATGTGCCTTATTATGAAATCCAAAACTTGACAGGTTTGTTTTCATGTGGACTGTGCTGATTGTTTGTATCAATTGATTACAGCTTAGTTAGATTTAATCATTACAACTTTGTTTATTTCAAAGTTGCACATTTAGCATGTGCTAAAATCGGTGTGTCCAGCTACAGTAGCACATGACATTCTGTCCTAACTGAAAGAAGCTGGAAAGCTATAAGCAAAATCCAGGGAAGTGTGTCTGCAGATCTTGGTGTGCAAGTCCACAAAGGTTTCACAGCTAGGGCTGATTTTTACACATGCCACAAGTGGGAATATGACTGATGGGGTAGAGAAGTATGGAGGACCAGGAGAGGGACTCACAAAGAAAAAAAGTCATTTCTAACTTAACATTTAAATCATGCAATTAGAAATCCAATGTAAAAAAAAATGTTCTGATTGTAAATGTTAAATTGAAACATGTGAGAGGAATTGTAAACTGTGTTTGTTAAAGAATTATGAAGTACTTTTAAACCCTATTTCTAAAGAGATTTGAAAACCACAACTCATAAATCTGATTATAAATCCCTCTCCTAATCACACATTAAATATAGTAAATCCTTATTCTCTTTACTTATGTTTTGCTCTGTTTTCATATTGTTTTTGCATTTTCTTTTTACTTTACAATCTCCATTGACCTTTTGTGTGTTCCTCATTTGTCAATTTGTGAACCAAGTGTAACAATCTAGCAAGTCTAGTGTTCATTTTTGGTTCTTAATGTATTTTAGTGCTGTTCGAGTCCTTATTCTGCTGTTCTCTGTTTTTGTATTTCTTGTGATTAGTTCCTTACTTTTTTCCATCTTTATTCTGGTTTTTACTTTCCTTTTCTGTTTTTCTTTTCCTTCTTAATTATCTGTTGATTTTTACCCTTCATCTCCATCTTCAGATGCTTACCCTTTCCTATATACTGCCATCTGGTAGTTAAGCTCATTTATCCCACCTGTTCCTGCATATTACACCAATCCCTCTCACCCTGTATCCTTATGCCTTCTTTTCGCTTGGAGTCTCTCCTTTCTGCATGACCAGCTTAATAAGTGTTACTATTCTCCTTTTTATCATTGAAACTTTCAAACAGGCTTCAACCTTGGTCTCTGTTTGAGACCAAGTAATACTTGGTCTCAAACAGAAAGTATTACTGGCTGAAGGGAGCATGGAGTCTCTCTCAAATATCTGTTTTAGTTCTAGAATACAATGTCATGATTCTGCCCTTTGTGGATTTCTTTTTAAGTTTATTTTTGAGTTTTCTGTTATTTATGTCATTCTGTTAACACTTAGGGCCGGATCTCTCAAAGGTTTGCGTGTATAAAAACGTGAGCTATTTCACTGCGCACGCTAAAAAATGTACAAACTGATCTATCAACAGCGTGCTAAAAGGATTTGGTCTTTAAAACGTGCTAAATAGCGCCTCTTATTCATTTAGTACTTTTTCTGCAATGAATATACAATATGGGGTGTTAACACGCAAAAGTGCGTCTTGTGGGAGGAGAACACCTCGTCTGCTACCTAGTGCACAGATGGTAGTTGCGCTATGTGACTTCATTCAGATGACGCCGTTTCAACCCACCTCCAGCCCCTACTCCACCATCGTAGCTAAAATATCAGAGTTTCATTCCCCTGGACTCTTACTGCATTCCGCGTCTTATTTCAACTGGTTTGGCAGAAGACCGCCATTTTGAGCCTGGTTCTGCCAGAGGTTTCTTCCCAATGGAGAACTGATCCTCTCCTCTGTCATTTCATGCTTGTTCAGCATGGACAGATTCTTTCGACCCGTGTTATCCAACTGGACTTCCATCTTCCAAGTCCGTGAGTGAAGCTCTAGTATCAGCTCACGGAGTCCACTGGATCTCCCCATAAAGCTCAGCATACCGTCTCACTAACCAGCAGTCTACAGACTGACCAAATTCATCTATCTCCACTCCAACCCCAGTTTCAGGCCTGGAAGGGAAACAGCCCTATTCTTTGCTCCTGTTCATGCATACCAATCAAAATGCAGCGCATTTCCTGCCAAGGTCTGATCACCAAAGACTAAGTAATTGTATCAATACTTTTGTTCTAATTGTCGTTTCTCTGTGAGTTTTTCAGATTGAACTCTGTTGCCCCCTCTTGCTAGTCTCCTTTCCCCTAGCTCCCTTCTAGTTACCTCTATCCACACCTGCCCCATATCAGCCCATTAGCCTATTCTTTGCTCTGCTCCCTATATATACGCCTACTGTGCAGTTCCTCATTGCTGTATCCTCTTCACTGCTTTGCTTTTCATTTGTGTGTCTCCTTGGCATCTCTTGTTTGGTTTCTTTTTTATTGTTCCTGGATTTGTGCTTCTGTTGCCCTCTGCATTTAAATTAAATCTGCAAGAACTAATCTCCGTCTCCTCATCTCATCACTACATCATTTGGGTACTCAAATCATTTCCACCAAACCTTACTACAGTTAGAACGTTTAAGTCAGAGATTGATGATAGTTATGTGTTTACTCATTCGTATTTGTCGAAGGGATTTTTGTATTACTGCAACGTACCTTTTACTTTCACTTACGTTTTTTTTTGTTCTGATTCTTGAGCCATTTGAAGCTCTAATGAATATACAGTAAACAGGATATATTTTCACTGGCATAACTTTGTACAGTTCTTACACATATATGCATTACTTACCATAAAAAGGGGTTTGAAAAGCTTTTTTTTTTTGAAAAATGTAATTTAGAAATATTCCTATTCTCAGCCTGAATTGTATTTTTTGTTAAAATTTTAACCCTGTTTTATTTTTTAAATTACAGAACTTGTATGTGATTTATATTTCATGATTCAAGTTATTTCAAAATAAATACGATGTTATTTTAACAGCTACTCAATACTTGAGTCATGTTTTTAACTAGAAACATGGTAACTCTTTTCTAGTAATTCTTTGGAGGACAACAGTTACCTCTTCTTCTACAAGTAAAACTATTTTAAAGTAGTGCTACTCTACTTACCTATTAGTTTCTGGCAAAAAGGTTCCACATAGGGTGAGGATTATGGGCTTGGTGTGGTTCATTTCCT